ATATATACTATTCATACCTTCAGTGTATAGGACCAAGCAGATTTTGACATCAAATTTTGGGATAAAAAAGTGCGTCTTATGCACCGAAAAATACGGTAACATGTTAATCATAAACATGTTCGTTCATTTGGTTTGATTCATAATTCAAATGGGTACTCATGCCAAATTTTCACACTTGTTTATTCAGTTAAAAATTATTATTAACCCTTTCTGTTGTTAATATCTTTATAAACTCAAGCATAGGCTTCTTAGAAATTATGTGAAAGGCTATGTTTACTTTTTGAACAATAAGCATTATATTTTTCAATATATATATATATTTGTATAGTACTCAAGCTCAATACTGTTGTCCAATACTGTGAGAGGGAGTAATCTACGAGATGCTGAAAACTGAGTTTTTGCAATTATGCCAAATTAATGATATTTAGCTGTGATGTATTAAAATCTTGAAGTTATATTATTTTAGTTTTCAAATTATATGAATAACATAAACCTTAAAATAGTGTCATTTTCTACTTGATAATCGGTATGACTAATGATACAACAGACTTTTGATAGAGGTTTTGTAAAAAGCACTGTTTTATATGTTGTTTTTTTGCTTCAGATTGCTGTTCTAAATCTTTATTAAAAATCATATATTGTTATTAAACAATGTATGAATTTGGTCACATTATATGACTTAAGACCACAGTGAGAAGAATAGTAACACCTAGTGTGTATAACTACATGTTGTATGTATTGTGATATATACAAGTACCATCAAGTGTGCAATACTTTACTCTGGGGAATTTATATTCTGCTGTACATTAGATGTTACATTATTCTCATATATGTTAAACTAACTTACTCTGTTTAATGTTGTAAATTAAGAATCCTCTTTCATCGTTTGTATATAATAAATTACAAATGGTATTTTAAGTAAAAATTTCATGTAATATTGTTTATTTGACTGCATGGCTTTGAACCATTTTTAGGTCAAAGTTTTACTAAGAAGCATTGAAACTGAAACGCATGGTTGAATAGCAGTAATTTTTATTCCATATCCTTTAACATTTCCAAGAGTTGTGATATAAGGCAAGTTATATACTAAGAACATTTAACTGAGTAGAAGGAATTCTGTCTCTGTAAATACTTCAGTACTGAAAAAGTTAATAGCACTTTCGCATATTATCATATAAATTTATTTTTGTTGGTTGATTATCTAGCAATGATTAGACATCACAAATAACTTTCACTTGAATTAATTAGGTCATAAAATACAATTATTACATATTGAATAGTTGAGAGTATTTACATTCTATCTCCAGTAATTTTCTTTGTGCACAACACTCAAACCAGTTTGTGAAAAAATACTTTTGTTTAAGCAAGTTATTCAATTTTTAGACATATTGCATCATGTGAATATTGTCAATGTAAGTTTTAAGCGAATATTTGTTATTCAGACAGAATTTCTTCTACCAGCAGCAAAAGGATTATTACAATAATTATTTTAACCAGATTGGTGGATGATTATAATCAGAAAACTAACAACTGAGCTTGAGATCTCTCACTACAGGTGTCACAATGGTTTTGTATTGACAGAGGATGGTAAAAACTGCATTGATGCTAATACTTGTTTGAGTGATCCCTGCTTTAATGGTGCAACATGTGTGGACAAGCCAGATGGCAAAGGCCATTATTGTCTATGTAGTGATGGTTATAGTGGCAGCAATTGCCAGTCAATAGTCCAAGCAAAAGTGATGAAATTAAGCATGGCAGCTCTTGCAACCATCTTGGTCTGTCTCCTTAAAATACTGAGTAAGTATTATAGTTAGAAGGGGCTAGGATTATATTTGGAGGACTTTATAGCATACATGTCTCAAAAATTTTTCAGACAGAAGCTAGAAAATATATTACATTTATATAATATGAGGTAACTATGCATTGTTAATACTTGAAACATTTGGTACTAAATAATATTGAACAAAAGTCACGTGTCAATTGACAGACATACTAGAAAACAAATTACACCTTTTTTTTTTTTACTAAACCTAGACATAACCCATAAATTAAAATGTATTTTTATTCTGTATTCTATAGAAAAGAGGCTTTTATTAGTTAATAAAAGAGAATAATCAAGACAAACTTTGAAAGAAGTGCAAGAAAGGGGTGATGAACTGTATGCTTTAAATCTTTTTGCATAGTTTTGAAATGATCTAATATTATGCATTTCAAAAGAATGGAGCACCAGTCTCAGTCATGGTCTACAAATTTTCTTTAAATTTGTCATATTTAAGTTTCATCATTTGCCACAGATGCCCTGTGAGTTTTTTCTATGAAGATAAATTAAAGTGTCTAGATGAGAATGAATGTCTCATATGACCATGAGGATATGATAGTTAATTGCTGTAACAGGTCTCACAGTAAGATAAATGTTTAAGTGGATAGTCATGTTACAACTGCACTTGTGCTGATGATGAAGTGAAAAATAAATTGAGCAAGACTTTGTTGTGTGATAGAATTGATGATTTAGCCATAACTCTTGCTATCTTTAAAGTCTATCTGAGTAAGCTTGTATTGTTACATCTCTGTATGTTTGTTTGTTAATTTTTCTATTATACAAGTCCTTTCTTAAATAAAACTTGTTTATTCTTCCTCAATACAACTTTGCAATACACTTAATTCTCACAGTTACACACACTATAGTTCACAACAATTCACTCACTTTCTACCGCGCTTGACTCAATTGTCCGTCTCTATCTCCGCCTGTCAGCAACTACAGTTCCGATCTCTGTATCTGCTATCCTTGGTTCCCCACTCTCTCTCTTTCTCTGCCCTTCTCTCTCTGTCTAGTGCACTTATATACGGTAATACCGCCTGTTCTAGAATCTTCTAGGCTCTCAACACGTGCTACCAGCGTCACTTGACTTCCGCTGTCATAACACACTTCTAGAATACACGTCACGTGACCCCTGCTGTCGTAACACTGCCCCTTCCTTAGTATTGTTCATCCCAAACAATAGCCACTTACATTAAACCAATAAACAATTAACAATAACTTAATTATATGTACAGAATTTACAAACACAAAATCAAAATTCAACAAAGTCTTTTAATTTTACGGGACGTATCTTCTTCCATACTGGTCTCCATCTCGTTGGCTTCTGCTTCAAGTGGAGTTCATCTGCTTCATCAAGAAACGTCCTATCATTGGTAACAGTCACATCAGTGGTAGTAACTTCATCAAGGGCTTCACTGTTTCCCTTCTCAAATCCCTTCATCGAATCAGTAGACGTTTTCAAGTTTGAATGCACTTGATAGTGAATATCATCCATCCTT